TCTATTATTTTTGAATGCGCAAATATTCAAATTTTTTTACTCCTTTACCATTGATTCAGACGTCTCGGAAGTAGAACGAATATTGAAATGCGAAGAAAACTTTGGACTAGGAATTATCAGCCAAGAAAGGCACAGAAATTCTTAAGAGTTGGTTCAGAAAATTTATCGTTCATAGAAACACTGCATCTGCTCGTACTGTTAAAATAATTTTTAAATAATCATTAGAAATCATTTGTCTCGTCATGTTCTCTGAGAATTTGCTTTATGCCACTCCTATGGGATTAATACATTTTTTAAGACATCTTTTCCATATTAATTTTTTTTTTTAGTAAAACTTTATAGATTGCGCAAAATTTTCTTAGTGTTTCAATAATTACTTTCTTCGTTCATTTTCTAGATTTCTTAATGGAACTACTATGAGTTTTGTGGTCATTGGAAGACTAGTCCATCATGATTATATATTGTTAGACCTGTAAACATATTTGCATTACGTTTTACATCTTTTTTCGAGCGAAGAAGCGGTCCAATGGTCTCCATTTTTGGGATAATAAGTTTTTATCTCCCAAAACTTAACAAAATGCAGGAAAACAGTCATGAGGTTCGTCTTCCAAAGTCGAATTTAGTAAAAGGTAATTCTGTTTTTTTTTAAGGCTCGGGTGGATTATCGAGAAAAGATAACTTACTCCGAAATTCGGATTCCTAATTACTTTGGCAATTAATAGTTTTTTTTAATAATTGTTAGCTAGCGTTCTAGCGGTTGTCAAGAACTAGGCCGCTAGCTAACAATTATCAGAAAAAACGATTAATTGACGGAGTAATTAGAAGTCCCAATTTCGGAGTAAATGATCTTTTCCAGACAGTCCATCCGGGCCTTAAATTAAAAAGATCTACGAAAATCTGATCATGTGAAATAATCGCAAATAACGGTTTTGTAATTTCTTTCTGTTTCATTTCTTCTTTTGGATAAACTTGGATAAACACATTTATACAAAAAAAAAGAAAACAATTAACTGTAACTTTAATATTATCATTTTATATTTAGTAGATTACAATCAGGCAGAAAAAATTGAGTAATTCTTCGTTAATTATTCATTTTTGGATCTATGAAATTTATGAGGAATGTATGAAACTTGTGAAATTGATAACTAATGATTAATTTCAAACGCATAGTAGTCTCTCAATGGACAATTTTGAATTGACTGATGATATTCGACTCTGTCATCACATTTCACATTAAAAAAATAGGGAATAAAATCTTTTTGAGGAGTAGGAAACCTTGATATGTAAAATGAATTGAAGGTTGAGTATTTTAAGATTGTTTGTCTGACATGTAAAATGATGTACAAATCAACAGTAATGATATATAAATGGAGTAATCATTATATTTTGAGGATATCGATAGGAAGTAATGAATCAGTGTGAAACATGAGAATCTCAGGTTTTTCATAATATCTATGTTAATTTATTTCGAATGTATTGTCGTAATTAAATTCATTACTATTGTCATGAAAAATTCTCCTTGATCATTCATTAACGAATAATTTTCTCAGTAATTTTTATGATTGTTTGTTCAGCTGATGGAACATTAAGAGAATGGGCGCCATGAAGGGGATCCCGAAGAATAACGTGAAAATCGTGTTGAATTTGACGACATTTTTCTCAGTGACAGGAGGAAAAACCTTGCAAAAATCATTTCCCATCAGACAATCATAAATCATCAAGACTTCAAAATACTCACTGGTGGTCCTTTGACGAGCTTCAATGGCCTTTCGTCGCAATAGTTCTCCGAATAATATCGAAATGAATTCCGGAAAACTAATCTCTTTAACATTTTTCCTGATATTATTTACACGTTTCTCGGTAAACAATTGATGACGGAAATTTATCACTCCATTGGTTTAGTTCCCTCTCAGTTTTAAAAATCAATTTGACAATTGAATGACTATTGCTCATCTGGTTTTTATGGAAAGATTTCGGGACTTTCCAAACTTGTTCGATTGTTTAAGGCCCGGATGGACTGTCTGAAAAGATAATTTATTCCAAAATCGGGACTTCTAATTACTCTGGCAATTAATCGTTTTTTTTTTTTCAATAATTGTTAGCTAGCGTTCTAGCGGTTACCAACGACTAGAACGCTAGCTAACAATTATCGGAAAAAACAATTAATTGACGGAGTAATTAGGAATCCCAATTTCGGAGTAAATTATCTTTCCGAGACACTCCATCCGGTCCTTAATTGTTTCCACGAAGAATTTCTGTCAAGGGATTGCTGTTGAATATTTTTTATTGATAAAAGTTTCTAGTTTTACTGTGGAATATTTTTATACAATTGATAAACAATCAATCCAATTTTCAAAGGAATTCAGTAAAATCGTGATTACTAATTGAATTCGTGTATGAATTCTCTTTATCCATGGGTTTTTGAATTCGCAAGGATTTTTTTTTGGGAAATAAAGGAACAACAAATTTTTTAATAAACGAAATCATTGCATTTATTCATACTTCATTACTCAAATTTGTTAATTGTTCCCTCCATTAGTACACTACATAGTCCATCAATTTTCATACATAATCGCTTGTCTTCTCGAGGTTCTTTGATAAATCTAACACTAATTATAAAATATTTACAAAAGAAAGTATCAACACCTTGGTACCTGCATTGATACCTGTCAATCAATTAATTATTACCGACGTGAAATGAAGAGAGAAAACACTCATTTCTTTTCTCCATTGACAATTGTGAATTGAGGGCAAATTTTTTTGAGTTTAAATAGTCACGAGTTACTGATATAAGAATCTGCAAAAAGTATTTTCAAAAATTGTGTGTGACAACAATTATGAGACGTTTGCTTTAAATATCTGAAATATAAATGAGTCGTACTTTTTGTCAACTTTTTCGATTGAAATTGTTGGCAAATTGGATTAATTAATATGAAAAAATTAATGAAAGGTCATTGGAAAATTGAATTAAAAGACTTTCAATAATCTTAAATATTGAAAACTCAGTAGTTTCCCTTCAATTCTCACAAAAGTGAAATGAAGATAGACAGCCCTCATTCTTCCTCTATTCTCCCGAATTACTCGACCTAATAAGTATCTAGTGTGATTTCCACCCCAACTCCCCCGAATCCTGTACATCCATTAAATTTACAACCAAGGATGCCAACTAGGATCCATTCTACATAAATTATCATGACTGTTCGCAGCAGCAACGAGTGTTCCAACTTTGCTATCAGTCCCATCAAAAGTCGCCAATGAATTAAGCCTCTGTACAATAGCATTGACAGCCCTCGTGACCATCGTAATCAGTAATTCCCCCTTCATATCAGGCACTTGCGTTGCGTTTTCAGGATCATCCTGCTTCTTATTGTGATCAGCAATTACCTCATCCCTGAGAATAGCCCTGAGAATCGTATGGACCTTGAACGATGGTTGAACAAGACACCTGGCAGTGGCAATGGCTGATGCTGTGAGAGGTCCAGAGACTCCAGTGCCAGTTAAGAACTCAAGAATATTGGGTGTTAGTCTGAAGGGTACAGGTCTGTTGGCATCGAGCTCTCCACTCGTATCATCAATATCAAACTTGAAATAAGCCACATTAATGAGTCCCGAGTCCTGATGCACATACATCATGTCAGGATTAAGTCTCGTCAGATGAAGGACATACTCAGCGAAACATGCGAGAGATAATTGGAGGGTAAACATTTTTCTGAAGGTCCAGTAGTCAGTGGCAGAGGGAAAAGTCTTGACAGCCCAGTCCCTGAGCATTGTCCTGGGTACCATACTGGTCTGCACCTCTTTAAGAATATCCCGAAGGACCTGATGGCTTGCCTGTGCTCCCCTTGCCTGAACAGCTGCTAGCCTCTCGTAATACCTAGCTATGGGGGCGTCATGCTCAATTCCCATCTTAGCACAACCCTTCTTATAGATGTCCAAGAGGGAAACTGACGCTGGATTATCCTCGACAAGTCTCATTTGGGGAGAAACTGCCACAACCCTTGGTACAGTGAAATGCAGGAATCTCCGCGAGGTCTCCTTCTGCTTCGCCAAGTAATGATTAAGCATCCTCAGCAATTGCAGGACCCTTTCCTCTCTTCTAGCATCCCCCAGGCCAGCATCATTTACAACTAGATAAGGATAGAGTCGTCCATTATGGCCCCTGATCCTCAATCTCCTGGCAGCTGTGTTGTGCCTCTGAACAACCTCCACCCTCGGCATAAATCTAGCTATTCTCACGTAATAATGCGAATGCTTGGGGAGTAAAAACTCCCCCGGTAACTCTACCTCAGCTGTTTTCAGACTGAAATTACTCAGGAACCTGCACTTCTCCTCGATGAGAAAAGATTTGGGCAATTGCTTTGTCTTTCCTTCCAGGATTTTAATCCACTTCTTCAGTTTGCTGATCAAATTATGGAGTAGTCTAGCTCCAGGCACGGTGAAATCGAAATCCGAGGTGAACTGGCCCTTCATCTTCTGGAAAACAGGATCCTGAACAGTGGCTTGTGCTCTCCTAGCGAGGCTCTCTGATGCAGCTGAGCCGAAAGTGTTGTTGACGTTTTGAGAAGATGATATGTTCTCGATGCCAATGCCAAAAGTTGATACGAGTTTTTTCACAAAATTGAGGGTATGGGGAGTGATGGTTGCCTCTGAGACGGCTCCTCTGTTCTCGAAGGCAATGGCATAGCACTTGGCAAGGCCCTGTCTAAGCTGTCTGAGTACTTCCTCGTACCACGTCTCCCTGAACCACACCATTTGGTCGACGATTCCCTCCAGAGACGACAGAATAGTCGGATGAATATCTCTCTGCATGTGCATGATCTTGGAGCACCTCCACATGGGTGGAGTTGCCCTGATGGGACCAGTCTCTGGTCCTGGCTGTACCCTTCCTTCCTCAGTCTTTCCAGCCAGCTCTGCACTCTTATACCTCTCCCTCTGCTCGATCTTCAGGGTAAGGTAGAGAGTTCTAATCGAGAAATAAACAGCTTGTGGAAACATCCTCCCAACTTGTGACAATAAATTGAGAATGACATTTCCTTCATTTCGGACTAGACACATGAGCAACTGCGGAATCCATGGAAGCCACTGAATCGGAGGAACTCCAACTGCATATTTATCGAGGGCCTCCATCAACGAGAATTTCTCGTCGTCGTACGTCAGTAACCAGAGCACCTTAGCCAAATACTTTCGAGACTTGGATTCATTCTGGTGTCTGCAGGCATGGAGGAAACAGGTGATTGCAGAGACACCGATGGATATTTGTCGGGCATCGCGAGTGAATATGTGCTCGAGGTAATCACCCCAGAGGGCCCACGCCTTCACCAACGTGTCGTGCATCTGCACAGCTGCTGAGAATGCTTTATTAGCATCATCTGATCTACCTATCTGTGACAGAAGCATTCCCTTGAGAGCGTAGAACTCTGCAGTCATCTCCTTGGTGAAGTACTTGAGATTGGTGGATTCGATTACCTCGAGACCGTCCTGCAGTTCATTTTTACCACTGACTGATGCCATCTGCAGATAACACTTGACCTGTTGTCGAATTTTCTGGAAGCAGTCGACGATGGGAACACTGGGAATCGTGTAGATTCTGGATAACGAGTCTAAACATACACCAGTCAGATTGTGCTTCCTGGCGATTTTTCCGAAATGGATGATCGCCTGGGCTGATGCATGCACCCCGAACATTGAGTGATTGGTTGTCTGATCCTGCTGGGCGTCGTAGTGCGATGATATGAAAGTGTAATGGTGCTGTCTCCACGTAAATATATCAGACCAGTGGCTCAGGTCATCAGCAATCACTGGTAAACGATTCCTCCAGGTTTTAACGATGGCCTTCATATCATGAAGGGATGATGATCTACCATGGATAAGTCCCTGGTGAATCTGCATAGCCTCCTGGAGCTCCATTATCTGTTGGGCTGCCTGAAGAAGAGGCAGATGAATATGGGAGACAATATGGGGAAGTCTCCTCCACTCTCTCATGCATAATCCCGATGCAAGCTCCACGTATCTCTCGACTGCATTGAGGTGTTGGTCCTCCGAGTGGCAAATAGCGAGAAAGCCACGGTAGAGATTCACTTTCCACGCCATCTCCTTGGGGCAGTTGTGCTCGACTTGTGCAAGTGCCTCCTTCATCAGTCCCCAATTTGGAATTCTCCAGGAACTCTCGAGAATGAGGAATGGATTTCTCTCAGCCTTTTTACTCCCGTACTCGAGAAGAAGATCCCACTGATTCAATTCCTTGGCGCATCGTATCCAGTGGTGCTCCCACAGAATAGCTTCTCGTTGTGTTTTGAATGGAGCTGGTGTTGTCACGTAATCTCCCTTGAATTTAGTCATGGCTAGATCATAAGCACTCTGCGCTTGCTCGAAGAATCCCTGTTGCTCCAGTGCTGTTGCCTGGAGTGTCTCTTTGTAATGGGCATGCTTCTGCCAGAGTCCTGCCCACATGTCTTCCTCACACAGCAATGAGTACATGTCTGATAATGAATCCAGGACTTCGGCGTGCGGACTGTTGTCAGGCTCGAAATCGTAGCAATCAGTTTCTCTTGATTTTCGGTTACTGCTACCCGAGCTATTTCCATCAAATGCCATCTGCTCGAGACTGAGAGTCATTCTGTGCCAGATATTGTGAGATCTACCCAGGTACTTCATGAGAGCTGGTCTCATTGGCACTGGGGGATCACAATGTGCCAGGGCCTCGACGAAAGTTGCTATCGCCGATGGGTGACAGTCCTTCTGGATCACGTGGGTTCCTGAACACACGAATGGCACTATTTCACCAATCAGAGTGTTGTGCTGGTGATCATCCAGGATTGACCACAACCTGGGGAATGTATCGAGCCAGACTCTTTCTGCAAGATTAGTATCCATGTGGCAGAGTTGAGCTGCAGAATTGAGGAGCTGCTCTGTCCTTATCTTTCTCGAGTGTTCGATAAAATCTGACTGTTTTGAAACGAGTTGAGTTAAAGTTCCTGTCTGCTCAGTGACGGTTTTAACGACATCCTCTGGGACAGCTCCACTCGAATCAACCGTCGACAGATCGAGATCGAAAATCTCATCTTTCTCTCTCATTATGCAGTCCTTCGAGTCCTTTGTCTCCGTTAGATCATTTGCGATGTCACTCTGGTCGTGAACTTCCTGGGGCTCTTCCTTCACGTTCGTGTACATCATGAAGCCCTTGAGGTCCTCAGAATCTGCCATATTGATTATGGAATTGACAGAAGGTAGCAGAGTGTCTTGATTCGATAATTGTATCTGAGTTGTCGAGGATGCTGTCACCAGGAGAAGCTCGATACACTGTTTTATCCAGTAATGGGGTCCCATGGCGTCCCAACTCTGACTGCAAACGATGTACAATAGTCTGTCATGGAGTCTTCTTCGCATCGAGCCATCAAAGACCTCGAAGAATTTGGCTCTGATGTGAGGTTGTATACACCTTAACCCACTTAGAAACGCTGGCTCCAGTTTTGATGTCAACTCAGAGGATTTAAGAGTTTCATCTCGATACACAAAGTTCACGAGCTCGAGGAACTGCCCATTGAGCTCCAAATCATCTGGGAATCTCTTCTCTACGTACTGCATCATCTTGACAAGGAGAATTGATTTCTCTCGAAGACTGGGAGCTTGATTCATAGCAATTGTGTTCTTATTCTTCATCCACTCTTCCAGCATTTTCGTAATTGCTTTCATCACCTTGATATCCTGTGTCTTTTCAATCAGTCCAACGAGAATAGCTCCAATGAATGATTTTCTCATTTCCACTCCCATCACCCCAACTCTACTCTTAACAAGATCCAAGCTAAGAATCAGAAGTTCACTTCCCACTGGATTTGACTCGGTTTGAGTCGAGTGCAGATGATCCTTCGCCATTTTCTGAAGAACTCGCATAAACGGTGTGATCAGTCGATCGATATAACTCTGATTATTGGTGCAGGCTGCTTTCAGCATCATGAGAGTGCCGAATAAAGTACTTGGAGCTGCTGATTGATTTTTCTCGTAAGCAGCAAGCCCATCGAATACAAATTTGCCAACAGTCGTGTAGAGGGTATCCAATTCTTCATGTTTGGAGGCAACATTTGCGGATGTGGGCTCTGTAGGAAATAATGTCATCAATCTAGACAACAATCCATGAACCAACCTGATGACTTTGGTATTAGCACTGGCAATGCAAGCACCAAGACCCCTCTGTAGTGGTTTAAAACTCGCTAGAATCTGTTCTCGTTTCATGACACCAAGAAGAAAAGTGACGAGCTCCAAAGCTGTACAGATGTTTCCATAATTCGGCTGAGTATTGTCAACACTGGCAAATACCTTGTCGAGCCAGGCAAGCTTGAGATCACAAGACTGTGGCCAGACATCTGGCTTCAGTGCCATTTTGAGGAGAGTAACGCATCTCCTGGATAACTGTTCACCAGGATTTCCCCCCTGTGCTGTAGCTGCAGCAGCATTAGCGGCAGTGGCATTGGCTGCTGTGGCAGTGCCTCCAGAAGCCGCTGCTGCAGCAGCTGCAACAGCAGCTGTAGTTGCAGCTGGAGTTGTCGTTGTGGTTCCATCATTGACCTGGCAGGCTAGCCTCAGCAAGAAGTTGAGAATTGCATCAGCATGGGCACGTTCAATAGGTTTTGTAGATCCAGGTTCAACTCGGGGCTGCACAGGGACACCTGGACTCATAGCAGGCCCCACAGTCTGCCTCTTTGACGAGAAATCATCGCCTGCTGGGGCTTGCCGTTTAATTCCACCTGTCGATGTTATTATTTCACCAGCAGCCTCTGCCTCGTCCTTTATCCTGTGTAATTCCCACTTGATGATTACCTCCGCCAGCTCCACGGCTAACCTTCGATGTTCAATGGTTGCTGTTGGACTGAAACCAAGTCTCTGGATGGAGTTCACCATGTGCTGGACCAGATGATGACGAACTGGATAGTAAACTTTATAGTGGCGAACCACCAACTGGAGAATATGGAAGAGCTGCTGCATGGAGTGTCCCTCCTCGACGATTATCTTCTTTGTCCAGTGTGTCAGCATTGTGTTGCCATCCTCCATTCTCACTGGCATTGCGGGTGTCAGAATTTCCAGGGCCTGACGCACAACACTTCTCGCTTCAACGGCGTGAGCTTTCAACAGGGAATGGAATACCTGAAGAACAATTCTCTTGTGAATGGCAAATTTGGCGATAATGTGGGAGAGCAGGAGGTGTCCATGGTAACGAGTTGCTGGATCTACGCAGTTCTTGCCAAGTAGACAAGGCCAGGCAAATGTCATCAGTCGCCTGAGCTTGTGTCCCTGACGTTTGTTGGTTGCATCGTGGATATGTTGACTGGCTTGCTCCACCAAAAGACATGAAAACTGAAGCAGCGAAATTCTCACACAATCAGCTGAACCGAATGGATTGTCAGAATCAATAATCTTGCTGATGAAGACTGACACGACGTTCTCAGGATTATCTTGATAAGGCATTGGTGCACTGCCCATCAACTTTACACTCTCACCTCGTTCGAAGCTGACAGCAAAGCACGGGATAATAATCAACTGTAGAACTTTAGCTTTTAGCTCTTGAGACATATTATTGGTGGGGAAGTACTCGACAAATCTGAAGAAAGCTGCTCGCTTCCACTCTACTGTGTACTCCTGAGCAACTGTTGTCTCCAGGAAATCTCGTAAGAACTGGAAGTCTGGGATGAATCGATCGCAATTAGCCCTGAGAAGTTGAAAGAGAAGATCGATGTCATTGGGATGATGGCCGAAGTAGTGGAGGAGGATTTTGACGATGAGTTTGGGCTCCTTCCAACGGGAAAAGTCGACGGAATCAATTTTCTTGTGGAGGGCTTGATATTCATCATTGCACCAGATCTGCTTCAATGCTCCGATGAGCTGTTCCTGATTGAAGAGCCATTGCTCATCGAACTTTATTAATACCGAGATTATTCTGATGGCCTGATGCTGTAATTCGCTCTTCTCTGCTTGAGTCAATGTTGAATTTGTTTGGGAGTGGGCTAGGAGCATCGTGATGAGACGACTCGTGTTATTGTGAAGAACATCCCTGAAGGGTTTACCCTCCTTGTGCTTTATCAGAAATTCCAAGTACCTCGACCACTGTTGATCTTTGATATTATTGTCATGCAAGTAGAGATTGAGGGTTTCAGTTGGATATCTCAGCAAGAATCTCATTAATGGGACTCTGAAAAGGCTCGAGGCCTCCACTAAAAGTGACTTTTCAGTTTGCAGAACTAGACGACAAAGAACATCAATGAATTTCGGAGTGGCTGCTGGGATCTGATGAAATATACCAATAATCGTGGCAATCTTTTGCTCATTCTCCCCTGATCTCGACACCCCCTTGTGGGCCTGTATCAGATTCTCCAAGAGTTTCTTGAGATGCTGAAGGAGCTGCTCACACAGAGTAATACTGAAAGTACTGGGAAACAATTGAGTCAAATACGAGAGTCTCTTAACACAATTCAGAGACAGATTTCTATGATCTCCCAGAGTTAAAAGCATTGGTCTCATGATCGAATGCACGTTCTCCATTTCAATCTGGAATCCAGCAATGAATTTCTTCATGCATTCAAATGCAGCCTCTTGTAATTCAGCGTTGGGCTTCTCCAGGGCTTTATACAGTACTCCAAAAATTTTATCACGACAGTTGACGATGTAATGACATGCTGCGAGTGCCCTTAGTGCAGATTTCCTTAGGGGAATGAGATTGGTCACTGATTTGTAACAAGGGAGTTTCTGTAGGGTCGTGTCTTCAGCCTCTGAAAGGGTCAGAAGCTCTTGGAAGAAGACCTTGTGCTCCATTATCTGCAGATCAATAGTAAATAGTCTCGGTGAGAGAGTTGTGCAGAAAGTATTTCCATCCATCAATCCGATTTGGGCATTGGCTGGCTGATGCCTCAGCAGATGTTTCTTCGGGGGAATCATATCAGCTAGCACCTCCTTGTGAGGTTCCATCACTTCGGTTACAGTCTTCTGTTGGATGTTAGCGAGAAGACGAAGGGAAGCCATCGCCTGTTCTCGAACAATGGTATGAGGAGAGGTTACCTGTCGTACCAACTCATGAGTCACTTCGTAAAGGCTCTTATTCTGAGCCTCAATGAGATCCTGAGACGTCGCATTGTCATCTGTCTCCATCATCTCCCTCTTGACAGTCCCTGAATTGACGCACACCTTGAGCATCTGCTCGAGATTAGCTTTGGCCATGTCGATGGCACCATTCGAGACTTCTCCTGTCAAATCCATCATCACGAACATGAGAGCCTTCAGAAACACGAATAGGTGATTTAGCACCCACTTTGTCGCCATGTGCTCAAAGAGAAATTTAATGGCGATACAGCCACCGAGTTTGGCGTACCAAGCTCGTTCATAACACAAGGAGCACATTTTCTCAGCTAAATATTCCATGAGGGGTAATTGACAGGCCCTCTCTTTGCTCCCCAGAATATTGGTGGCTGTTTCTAAAATCAGCACCAGAGCCAGATGCCCTGGTTTGCACAATTCTTTCTCTTCGTGTCCCATGATAACAGCCAATGCATCGATGAGGACTAGCGAATCGAGTCCCTGATTGCTAGATATCAGAGCTGCAGTTAGTCTTCCAGGTCTAGCTGTTTGGCAGAAGGGACCTGCCTGCTGAGCAATCGCAATCATCGTGTAATGCCTAACAAGTGAGACCATTGTCCCCAGAACAGACTGTCGTAATTCCTTTATCGCAGCTGCCACGAAGAGTCCTGTCAATGCTGTCTGCTGAACATTTCTCGTGACTACATCAGGGCACTTGTAGTAATGTCCCTGTTGATGAAGAATTTTACCCTCTTTGAAGCTAGGATGAGTGAAGAGTTTATAAAGAATCGATCTGTCATCGTCGAGCCTTAGAGATGCTGCGAGGTAACAATTGATCACTTCCCAGCACTGTCTTCTGTAGAATGGATCGGTCGTGTTGGATTTAAGAGCTGTGAATGCAGTCTCTATGACCTTCTCCACAGGAAAATCAATTGACAGTGTTTTGTTCTGTTGGTCCATAAAGTTAGCGACGATGGATGGAGAGTTTGTCTCTCTGTCATTGTAATCAAGCTTCTGGGGTTCGATCATCATCTTCCTGTTACCACCACCAAATTTTCCAAGGACTCTGAAAGCTACATGCGCTACTTGATCTGTGGGATTACGGAGGGTTCTCCAGAGGGCCTGCATCAAGTCTGCCCTGACCGGTTGTATGTGCTCATAAAGAAAATCAGGTTGCAGATTGTCGACACACAGCTCCAGGGTTCGGAGGCCCTGGGACACCAGTGTGTGACTCCCATTGAGAGCCGAAACCAGAGGATCCATCAGCATTGGTAAATAAGGAAGAAGTGATGACAATCTTACTGGAACAGTTAGGCACAATTCCACGAATAAATCCTTCATGTGTTGCTTGTGTAATCCTGACTGGAGTCTGTTGAGTCCCTCCAACAGATTTGGCAAGAGAGGCAGAAACTCCTGATAGAGAAGATCGTGGGAGCCCCCTCCAATTGATCTGAATAAGGCTCGGAGCAGTAGAAAGTAATTGTAAGGTTCCTTCGCACTCATTGCCAACTCCATCGATCTGTTTACTATCTGGTGGAGATGTGGCCTCAACATGTGCTCGTTCTCAGCTGGAAACAGGGAGACAGAACCAAAGACCAGTTTAAACAGTCTTAAGTACAAATTCGATCTTTCGACATTCGATCCCATGTCGTCCATTCTCTCCAGGAGATACTCTACTAGAACAGTAGCAAATATTGGGGAAGTGGTTGGATTAGCCAGGAACGAATTGCCCACGATTTGGAGAGCGCAGTTCTTTGAGATTCTCTCAACCATGTAGTCTATTGTCGTTGAAAAAATCTCCTGGAACGTCTGAGGATTCATCATGGAGAAGACTCCACTGAAATGCTCGAGAACCTCTTTCTCCTCTTTAGTTCGAACAGTTTGAGGCTGAACTGGTCTTCCAACTTGACCTGGAACGGAGGAACCCATCGTTGGGGGTCCTATGGTGTAGATATCGAGTGCCTGAAGCGCCCATTTGACTAATCTAATAAACACCAGTGTCTCTTTTGGTTGAAACTGCTTCGACTGAACGACATCTCCTGTCTTGCAGTTTGCGCAGCCCCAGGTAATAGTTTTAACACCGCAGACAAGAGTCTTCACGAGTGATCTGTAATCAGCGACGTTGTAATTATTAGATTGAGACTGGGGAAATCCGAATTTCGATTTAGTTTCTTTGTCGTCGGTCTCGATGACAGGTTTAACGTCTTCAGTCTTCGCGTCACTGGGTCCAGGAGGAGTCTGGGCTGGTCCTCTGGTTTTATTCAAGAGTACTGGCATCTGGAGTTTAGTTATTGTCTTGAACTTAAGCACAAAAACCTCAAGCATTCGCATGAGAAGTTCTCTGCCCTGGGTGGAGCTCTCTGCGTCACTTCTCTGACGGATGCACTCGACCAAGTTGAGAAGGAGTTTGCAGGACATTGTTTGGATTGTCGTGGGGAGACTCTGATCGTGAACATTTTTGCTGAAGAGGTGGACAGCTCGAGCTAGATCACTCAAGGGGAGAAGTTGTCTGACGTGATGGACAAGATCTGCCAGAGTGGAGTAGGCCAAAGGTCTGAGGGACTCGTGGGTTGTCCAGCCATTGCCCAGAAGGACTTGTTCATCGAAGAGTCGTTCCATGTGGGGCACAAACTTTGTTCTGAGATCTGTTGCTAGAATATGACGTGCTGCGATGAGCAATTCCTTTCTGAGATGAGCAACTTCCATGGGACACAGTGTCAGCAGTCCCAGCATTCCTTTTACCATCATCTGACTGTGTTGGGAGACAACTTCCTGGTAAATTCTTATTATGTAAGCAAGAAAGCTCAGGGTCTTGATTTGCGCACCCATAAAATCAACGAAGACCTCTTTGTTGAAACCTGGTGATGACCGGTGCTGGGGGGAGGGCTGAAGAGTAATAGTCGTCATTATGAGAGGGATGAAGTCCGCTACATCTTGATGAACGTTTTGCTTGTATATTTGGTACATCAGGACGACGATTATTGGAAGTTCCTGCAAGACTTTCAAGGATAGAACTGCCTTTGGGATTAAGTTGTATGTTACAACTGTACCGTCTGCTGCTTTCTTCTCGCTTTGAATAGCTGTTATTGTAAAGGTCTCCTTGAGCAGGGACTCGATGTTTATTTCTGCAAGATCTTCTACAGAGAGGGGCGGCCGAGGCTCGAATATCTTCGGGAGATTCTTCGGGAGCTCTGAGTAGATTGATTTGACGAACTGCAGGAAGTGCTGAATCTCTGGGTTAAAAGGTGGTCTGTACTGCTTGTGCAATTCGATGATGATTCTCAAACAGACGAGAATGTTCTCCTCATTTTCAGTCTCAAGTAGTTTGAGCATAAGGCTGAGAATTTGTTTGACGTAAGGACGGAGATAATCGTTGGTGGGAAGCCGATGGATCATCTCGAGGATGAGCTTCCTAACTTGCTGGATATTGTACTCTGATATGAAGTGGGGCTCTCCTTCCTGAAGAATCTTCAAGAATATCTTCATCAGGTGATCTAGAAAGGCTGGATATTGCGTTGCACACATTATCACTTCGAAGTTCTCGGATAATTCCTGTGCAGCTTTGAGTTTCAATTCGTCCTTTGATCCTGGATCCGCCAGCATCGTCACGTACGATCTGTACGTGTTCATCTGTGTCAGGGGATCTGGTGGTGCCATTTTTCACAACTCTCGTTATTCCGTATTCAATTTTTTCTCTTTTCATCTGAAATTTAAAGTCATCGTGAGTCATCCGTTATCGCGATATATTATATACTATTCTTATATTTATATTGAATTATTTACAACAATT